ATAGGAGAATGGGTGGGCCCAAGAGCCGGTCTGGACGACATGGGGAAGAGAAACTTCTTGACACTGCCGGAACTCAAACTCCGACCCCTCGGTCGTCCAGCCCTTAGGCAGTCGCAATACTGACTGCGCTATCCCGGCTCCTATCAAGCGCCGTAAGCATGTGGGAAAAAAAACTACCAATGAAAAATAAGACAAGGCTCTCCATAAATTTCTTCCAACCTAAACTACTTCTCTGCCTATTTTAAACGCCCCTTTTACACCATACAGTATGTAAACAAACTGGAAATCCATCAATGTACATAGTGATTCTAAATTATTGTCGGGGTTTCCATGGCGTATAATATTAAAAGCGAATCCAACAAAATAAAACTTCTAACAGAATACGAAAATGTAACTAAAAGAATTTTGTTCCTTATAGAATCAATACTGCAGAAAGCTAAACAATTTCAACATGTGCGCCTTTCGGGGCACGTGAGGTTTGGAAATTACAGGCCACGGAAACCTCGACAATATTTGAGAACCATCCTGTACTTTTTATTTAACACTAAATACAAATGAATTGTGAATTCATCAATTTATTTTGTAAACATCTGAATGTTGAAACTTGTTGGGGAACGGCTCTTCCGGTCCTTGTGTTACGGGCTCCCTCTGGGTGAATAGATTCAAAATGTGCACATGTACATAATCTTACGAGGCTGTGTCCGTTTCTGAAACCAGAATGAATGCGGGGATGTAAAACCGAGCAGTGACAGCTCCAAAGATTCTGCAAAATGTCACGCTTCACACATCAATTAAATTATGAAATTCGTGAAACATTACGTAAATTTAACATCCACTCAGGCCAGTCAATAACTGATCATTACTGACTCTATGTCCGATAGCGTGGACAGACTCCAATTTAGGTCACGGTGCAGCCGAGTCAATTGTCGTCGTTGTGTGCAGCTGACAATTGTACTTATCAAAAACTGAGCCTCATATTGGTCGGCATACTGCCTGGCCGTCGAAGAGCTTAATAACAAAATTCGTGGATCAGTGTCTCTTTTTATAAACCGATAGTTGCTCAGCTGTTCACGATATTTACATGTTTCGACCTTATAAGTTTCTCTCCAAATAGATTCTAAAGGGTTGCTGTACAACATTCGGGAGTACTAGCTTTCTGGACTTTGACCATCGAACGGTGTTCTACAAGAAACAAAAGAACGTAACGTTTCGGGATCTGGGTCTGTTTCCGATCTCAGATGAGACCCTATTGGGTCCGTTAGAGAGGGCTGACCCCAATCTCAGGACCAAGTTCAGCTCTTTACAATGGACACAACAGATTAAATGTCTCCCACATCCGTCGCCTGAGGGTGGAAACGGATCCAGTTTATGAAACGTTTTTTTTAGTATACTTCAGGATATCGGTCAATGAATAAAGACCAAAACCCCACTAATCCCTGGATTTAGTTCATGTTCATAGCATCCCGCCAATGAGTCAGATAAATACAGCAAATATCAGACCTTACTACCTCTAAGATCATTTTTAATATTATTCGCAGTTGTAGATCTGTCGAATTGTCCCTCTTCCAGCTTTATGAGAAAAATTCAAGTGTGACGTTTCTCAAGAGTGTAGTATTCGCCACAGTGCTTCACGGTGAACTGTATAATGATGTTTCAGTTATGTTTGATTTTATGTTCTTTTTTACTCAGTAACTGAGTGACTGACTTGCATTAATTAGCCAACTGGCTAACCGCTTTTTAACTGACCCAGACCACTCAAACAAGAGTACAGTCGACAAATCAACCAGCCAAACCAAACATCGCTGTATAATTTAGGAACTAATATTAAATACAAACATTTCCAGACTAGTAAAGAGAATCAATTAATTCTCTTAAAAGTATTATAGTTTTTCCCCTCGCTACATCAGTTTGTAAATGGACCAACTTTTACGAAATTTTGTGTTTCAGAAGAGTACTTGCATTTGTCACGGTTGACTAATCATATATGTGTGTATAAAGTAAAGGTATCCCTGTAACAGGCCGTGGAGGCCCATAGGGATGTGAGATGTTGAGGTTCCCACATTTTCTAGACAGTCGGCTCATAGATAGCTGTAAGGTTGTCAGCCTTAAACGCCGGCCGCCCTTTACCCCCAGGATGATTCCTGGTTCTCATTTCTGTTAGAGGCTTAGTCGAACCCAGGGCCATAGTGCGGCTGGAAGGTGTAGGTAAATTGAAAAAATCGACCTCATCGGGATTCGATCCCACGACCTTCCGGCTGGTAGCATAGTTCCTCAACCAACTACGCTACCGCGTGCCCCATCATATGTATGTGCAACATTAAATATTTACTCCATATTTTAGACTGATATTTTTGCTATTTATCTCGATAAAATGAAAATATATTTAGAAGGGGGTCCTGTTATAGTGCAACAAAAGGACACGGTATTTTTGTAAGGCGGTCTGTGCTATTGACACATGAAGAATTCGTCATAATTCTGGAGTAATTCCACTCCTTAAGTTCTGCAATAATATAAAATTTATGTTTTCATACATCTGAGGCTCTTCCTTGAAACTAATTCTTTCTTCCAAGGCTTAATAAATTCCTGCCCTTTCCACGTTCTTCAATACGAGGTCCTTAAATGGTCTTTACACACGCACAACAACACATACATACACAGACCTTCTCTGCTGCTTTCTTTGTTCCACCTCAGCAGCAAAATACATTTCATTTTACTCGTATATCCGTCGCACAATATATTACTCGTATAGTGCGTTCTCTTTTTTTTTTGTACTTCACTTCGCGTCCATTGGTTTAGTAAACATGTAAAATATCCTAAAATATTACATAATATTACGTTTTTTTGCCTTGAAATCTGACACGTAAGTAAATATATCTGAATAATTCACGTATTAATTAACTAACCAATATGCCAACTTATTTACCAGCTGGCAAAACATTTGAGCATCTGACTGAATAGGCTCACAAAGTATATGAATAATGAAACAGCTAATTATAAACTTACTACTCAAAATATTAGTATTTAAGAAAGAAGGCAAACTGAAGAGAGACGAAAGACGGACTGTGAACGAGCGAAAGACAGAGACAAAATCTCAAGACAACAGCAAAAGGGAAGCAGACTTAGCAAGTACACCTGATATACTCGTAACGGCGAANAAATGGAAGTAAATTGATAAAATTCACAGTAGGTTTTATAAACTAATATTTATATTAAACGACGCAACTGAACTGGAATTAGGGCGTGACAATAGGAGTGGAAAAGTTCTGACCGCGATTGCGAAATACTGGTTACGTTTCTTACGCGTGAACTCCCTGGAAATAGCCAGAACGTGATATGAATGGCAGGCAAATAACCTGAAGGCAGAAGGCTGGGCAAGGAAATTAGAGGAAGAATTGGAAAATATAGGCTTAGCATATGTTTAGCAGAGCCAGGTGGAGAATAACTCAAATGAGACATGTAAAATAAACAAGAGAACAGTGTAATGAGATACAGAAAGAAAGAAAGAACGTATTTTCGAACATGGGCGAAAAGATTTCCTTGGCATTTTACTACTGGGAAGTGAAACACGGGTAGGGTAAAGAGAGCCACATCTGGAATGCAGAAGAAAGGAGAGAATGGGAATAATATGGCTGGAAGCAGGGATCTGGGAACTAAGAGGCATCAGCAGGGATCTGAGAGCGGAAGGTGCCCCCAATTTCTGGCGGAGGGGGTTCATACTGCTAGTGTTCCCTGAAACGAAGAAGTGGAGAGAACTTGTATGCAGCAAACGGTTGAATAAAGGTGGGGACACGGGATGCAGGAAAATAAATCCCTGCACAAATGTAACTGAGGTATAAGCCCCACTGGAAATTGTTTATTTGAAACTAAGTGTAAATGGGAGACCGAAGGTGGAAGGGGGGACACAACCCCTCAGAGTTTAGCTGGAAGTTGAAATATGAAACAAGAAACTGGACTGAGGGCAGGAAAAGTAACGGCGCAGTAGTGGTGGCATCATTAGTGATAGCATAGTAGCTGAATTGACTTAAATATTGTAAGTAGTCTGTACGTATCGTTTATTTGTATGCATTGTAGTTTGTATTTGAAGCTGTGTACCACAAAATCCTGGTGTTACGTGGAAACAGTTCTGCGTTTGTAACCCAGCTAGATCAAACTTACTGTTCACTAGCTGATTGACGCTAAATTACCAAGTGCTTAAGAATTTCGCGAGGTTATTAACTGTAGGACTAGTCAAACAAAAAACTGACGAATTAACCAGTCAAGTGGCTAATTAACTGACCACTCAACCAATTGGCTAACAAATAAACAACTGGATCGCTAAGCAAGTCGGCTTGCTTTCGGATTGATTTAATTGCCCCCCCCGGTAATGAACCACCGAAATGACTGTGTAACTAAAACAGCAATCAACCGACTTATTAACCAACTGACTAATTGAATAACATACTGTCTTACTGACTAGTTTATTAGCTAACTAACAACCACTTAACAGGCAGACAAGCGGATATTTTGGCTGGCAAAGCAAGACCTTAACCGGATGACTAATTGACTAAGCAACTCACAATATAATAAACTAGACGTATTTTAAAGTACTATATGCTACGTGTACATCAGTAGCCGGTCACGGTAGCCGAGCGGTCTAAGGCGTGCACTGTCTTCGCTCGCTCGGAAGCCGGGATCGTGGGTTCGAATCCCACTCAGGGCATGGATGTTTATGTGCGTTTTTCTGTGTTTGTGCACAGGTAGAGGCCTTGCAACTAGCTGATCACCCGCCCAAGGAGTCCTACCGTATGTCTAAGGTCTAGAAAAACCGAAGTGAACGGAGAAGTTCATGGAGGTAGGCCTAGGCCCACTGGGTCTGTAGTGACAAGGAAAAAAAATATGTACGCTACATCAGTAGTTGGGTTCCCTTCAGTTAAGGGAGCGTAATACCACCTGCGTAACACATGAGCAGTGCGGGGTGCGCGCTCAAAGCTGCGATACACAGCAGTCGAGGAGCGCGGCTAGCTGCAGTCCTGGCTGTGCGGTCGTCCTGTGAGCACTCATCGCGCCGTGAAATGCGCCGTGGCGTCTGGTGGTATGGGACATCGTGGAGCCGACAGCGTGACCTAGCTAGCCTAAGGTAAACCATCTTTCGAAAATCGTCAGAACTTATTTTCGCTTTCAATGCCGCCACGAAGCGCCAATTGCCAGTTTGGGATTTAAAATAAAAGTATACAAAATTTATCTGCTTTCAGACAGCACAGAACATTACGAGAACTTACAAGTCGAATCTGTCTGGAACTATTTTTTTTTTGTGTGTGAAGATGAGGTAATCATTGCATTTTCCCGAACCACGCTTAAGGCTTTATGTTGAAAATGTTTTTGTATTAAGATATTATTGCTAAGTGGATATCGTCGGAGAACTTTCCATTCTTAACGGCTGAAAAAAATATTAAGGAACTTGCTTTAAATGTCCTTTGAAGAGATACAAAATAAAATAAAAATTCACCGAGTATCAACTGTTGTTTCCCCAATTTACTTAAGAGACAGGTTCTAATACACTCCATTTCAGGTAAATAGTTTGGCAAGGAAATTGAAGAAGGAAGAAAAGAAATAGATTTACGTGACAGAGTGAGTCAGAGAATAATATAAATAGGATAATAAAATGACTGAAGAAAGGATTAATTAGACATTATTTTCAAATATAAGTAAAATATTTCTTTTTTAATTTATCGTGAAATAAATATAATTGTGGAAAAGAGAATTACGTCGATGGTCATACAAGAAATGAGAGAAATGGAACATGATTGTTTAAAGCAGGAATTTCAAACTTAGTAAGGATTAGGAGAGGGTTTAAGGAAGAAAGATAATCCCTACATACGAGAGAGAAAAACGCTAAACGTATACTGCTGCTGAGAAATGAGAAAGCGAAGAGAAGAATTTGTATACAGCAAATGAGGATTTAGCGTGCAAAAAATGATAAACTGTACAAATGTAACATAGTTAAAACAAATATTGTAACGTACTTCTCTAAAATTAAATATAAATTGGAGAGTGAAGGTAGTAAGGTCGAACACTGGCCGCGCCATAGCTCAAGCGGTTAGTCTCTGGCTTCCCACCGCAGCGGCCCGGGTTCGATCCCGTGTCTGGTCAAGTGGGGTTTGTGGTGGACAAAGTGGTGCTGGGGCGGGTTTTCTCCGAGTACTTCCGTTTCCCCTGCTAAACTTTATTCCACCAAATTCTCCATCATAATCACCCGGGGCAGGTACAATAGGCCAATCAGTGGCCGCCGTGCCGAGTGGACCCAGTTTGACTCCACCCCCCACTAAGCAAATTAAAAAAAAGTTATTAAAAAAATGTGGAACCCTCACTTCAGGTTATGGTGGGGAGGGGATAGAAATATAGAACCGAAATGAAAGGATAGCATAGTGATAGTAGGAGTAGTAATAGTAATAGAGCAGATGAGTTGAACCAGTGAAAATAGACATATTTACAAAGAACCTTTGTACTTCAGTAACCTCATATTGATGGCTAATGACCTGTAGAGTGTAATGAAACTCAACTCAATAAAATTAAAATGAAACTTAATTTCAATATGTAGTTCTTAAAACTTTTCAGTTAGTGAAGTTAACAGTTCTTTAAAAGGAACAGATGGAACACTTCAACTTTTTCAGAATTTTCCAAAAAGTGTAACTCTTAATTCAGTTCCTGTAATAGACATATTATTGTGACGAACATGACCATTGCTAGGCAACGTTTCGGTAAGCACCCCCTGAAAGCTGGAAGAAACCATTGCTAGACAACTTAAATAAATAAATTTTCGAGGTTACGCAGTCAACAGTAAGTCTTCCTTTGCTAGATAGCAAGTCCTCAAACACAGATTCCCGTGGCAACGAATATTAACAGAGATATATTCCCGTGACAGCGGGAGAATGACAATTGTTCGAGGTGGTGACCTATATTCTGGTCGCTTGGAAGTTATAAAAGAGTCGTATTTCGGTCGTAAGAGAGTTCAATGAGTGAGCAGTTATTCTTAGTTCGATATCCGTCACAGTGGAAGAGAAGATGCTCGTGGTCGGGTGAACTAAACTAAGCAAGTTTCAGGGAATCTGTAGAAAGATATGAAGCGCATTGAGACAAAGAACTTCGTAAGTACGCAATGAAGATTATGTACGATAGTGGCAGTGTCTGTATTGACATATGCAAGTGAAAAATGAACAAGAAATTGATCAGAGAAAAAGGAAAATGATGTCAAGTGAAATTGGGTTCCTACGTCCTGTAGCTTCACACACTCTCCTACATCATAAACAAAGTACAGATATACGTTCAGAATTAAAAATATTCCACTTAACTCAGAGAATGGAAGAGCAGAATGAAAACTGGTACGAACATATTGTCACTTGCCCAGATGACGCGACAAGAAATTATGGGTTCCAGATTAGGCGAAGATGTTTATTGGACAACTACTTGTTTACGCCCACAATTACAATCACGCTCAAATGACGCCCTTCAGACGAATCGACGTGTCTAGTCCTTCGTCTCTCTGCGTTTCCTCTTCAGTGGTTCTACTCTTGCACCGCTATTCTCGGTGGAGCGTCTTGGTTCTTCTCTTACCTCTCGTCGGATCTGTACTGCTCTGGTCTCTCATCTTCTACTCTCTTAAGTAGCTCTTCGCGTACCGCTCAGAGAACAACTTGTCGTAGTGTTCTGTTTCGCATGTTAGCTAAAATATTCGTTAGCGGGTCTATTCGTTGCCGTGGGAACTTGACAATTTTGTCTCTGTTGTCTAGGCAGTTTCTTAGATAGTTGTCTTTCCATGTATTCTTTGCCGCTGAAGCATGCGCTCCCATTGCAGCTGTTGCGCAGCGATGGACGTCATATAATACGGCTTTTAAGCGTCACGCTACAATATTTTAAAAATGACAACAGATGGACGCTCGAAGATACTACTAAATTATAAACCCAAAGACACCGAAGTATAGGACTGCCACAGCTAGATGGGAGGGCGTGTTCTCTTGAAGTCGGAAACAGGGCAATGATGTGTGCCCTCGAAATGAACCACATTTTGCCATTTCATCTGTTGCATAATTATAATAAAATGGGATCACGCCTCTCCACGGCTGCCTCACAGAATATGACTCTGCATAATGCTGACACGGCGCGCTCGTTTCCGGGAACGCATCCGCAACGTCAAACGGGGCATTACTGCGTAACAGTATGTAAGAGTGTCGTTTGTTGTTGTTATCATCGGTGATTCGGTATTCATCCTTTGTGCTACTTGTCGTAAACACACGCTGAGCCCACTGTAACCCCATTTGGTGTCTGTATAAAAAAATTTCCTTGCTAGGTGCATTTCTTAGTACATTTCAGTGCATATTAAGTAAAAATGGAAAGCTGTCCCTGCGCTTAACAAATTAAACACTACTCCATGAAGGTGTATGGGGAGTGGGTGATTAGATCCACATTTTCTGGACCTCGGCACCAGATGGAGGTGAGTGGTTAGCTTCAGCCCCGATCGCTTTACCCCCGGGGGAAGAGCCACAAGTACTCATTGGAGAGGAGGTTGGATGGACCCCAGAGCCGGTCTGGACGATGTGGAGAAGAGAACATTCTTGGCTCCATAGGGACTCGAACTCCAGCCCCTTGGTCATCTAGCCCATAGCCAGTCGCTATACCGACTGCGCTATCCCGACTCCCAATTCATATTGAGTAGCTAGAAAAATATTTCAGTTGAACGTTTTAACCCGTATTTAAATTGATATATGACTTGTAATCTGTGATTAGATGATACACAGTATTATGTTACGTGTATGTTGTACACGAAACGTGTTCTACCAGAGATAATACCCATATGCCATAATAGATTCCATGAATGTATGTCTAGAAGACTTAAAATGTGCCCTCAATTTGCTGCTGTTATCCTAAACTGATGACAGAACAACACTGTTCAAATATGAGGCAGTAACTTTCAACAATGAACTATTACTTATTTTCTTTCATTTATTGCTAGTGGGGTGGGACTAAGTCCCTTGTACTGCTGCTACTTCTGGCCTATTTTACCAGCCCCAGATGATAGGTGAGGGTGATTGTGGAGCAATTGGTGGAATGGAGATTGGCAGGGGAAAGCGAAGTACTCTGAGAAAACCTGCCCCAGGCCATTTTGTCCACCACAAATCCCACTTAACCAGACCCGGGATTGAACCCGGGCCGCCGCGGTTGGGAGCCAGTGACTAACCGCTTGAGCTGTGGCGCGGCCCTACTTATTTACTTACTTACTTACTTACTTACGCATAGAGCTGAGCCCTTCTTGAGGACCCGCCTATTCTGCAGCTACTCAAGAATTTCCCAGCATTTTATGGAAGCCGAAGTTTCATTACCGTGTTCACAAGAGCCCCCCACTGGTCCCTATCCTGAAGCAAGATCAATCCAATCCATACCATCCCATCCTATCCTGTCTCTCTAAGATCAGTAACAGAATGCACAGATGCATTCGTTCGTGTCGACGTTTCGCATGCTCCTCTAACCACCTTTACATGCCCCCATACATGCCTCAGTAAATGGGGGAGTCCTCATATTTTAAATTTAAATGAAGCGCCATTAATCAACGAAGTTCATTTAGCTCCTCTATTTATCAGCAACAGAAATTGAACAAAACATCGTCGCTTTTATTAGCACAGACATAAACAACGTTGTGTTTTGGGAGGTGGGGGGGAGTTGTTTTGTTATTGCAACTGCTGCTGATATAATGTAGCCTAGAATTTGATACTGTCACGTGTTTCCTAGGCAACGCGACAAGAAATTTTCGCGGGTTTCGGATTTGAACGAATATTTATTGGACTGTCGCTTTTTACACTCTCAAATACAGTTAGTTTCAACTTAAACGTCGTCAGACCTTTCCTCTTCACTATTATAATTACTTGCACCGCTGATCTTGGTGAAGTGTCATCTGCTCTGCTCGGAGCTCAACTGCCCTTGGTCACTTGTCTGATAAGAACTCTGCTGGTCTCTTGCCGAATACGAACTCGGACTGAGTAGGGGATACCTTGCCAAAGGATTAATTGCGCCTGCTGCTATGCAACTAACGCGGTAATAACGTGTCTGCCTCAAACAATTCGTTTGTAACGGTGGAAACCCCACTGT